GCTTTTGGATGTAGGCATTGCTATCAAAACAAAAGTATCTTAAGTTATTATCAGTAATGAATAGCAGTGCCTCTCACAAATCCAGTACTTGTGGAGCCAAGAAACTCTTCTTAATAAGCATGGCATTTGCTAGCATAACAGCATCAAATTGCAGTACCAAAGGGTACAATGATACTATATCAATTTTTTAAAAGCAATATGCTTGCATAGGTAGCAGTGTAACAGTAGTAGAGAGAACTGATCTTGCTTCAAATATAGATGTAGGAAGAATGGAGCTAAGTTTTTTGCAAGTACCCTATCTAATGCATCTGATATGAGCAGAGGTTGTGGAATACATGTGGACTTGTGTTTTGATTTTGAAGAATAGCTTGGGACATGTCACATCTTTGGGAGAAGGCAGTCCCATTAAGGAAGATAGAACACCTGTTAATGTTACCATTTTTCGTGCTCTTCTTAAAACTGTCAGTGTCAGATCATCGCTTAGTAGGACCAAACCAGTTTATAGAAGGAATCTTTGTTCTTACATAATCACAAATGTCTGTTCTTTGTCTATGATCAACGACCTCAGATCCATATTATTCAGAAAATGTCTAATACACTGTCTGTTTTAACATTTCAGGCACTTGTGGGGGTTGTTGGGCAGCAATTTTTGTGAATACTGTAATCTTCAATCTGGATTGCAGTTTGGCCTGTTGAGTATATGTTATGCCCACCATGATGGTGGTGATGCTGATGACCTAGCTATCTGCAGACACTCATATGAAGAAAACATCATCACTGAAGTAAAAAAACAAGCACTGAATATGAGGAAGAAATAAATTCTATAACAGACAAATCTCCTGTTCTCTGTGCAGGGAAGGGAAATCATAAAGACTCTTGAAGTGTTATGTTATCTTGTACATATATATACATTATATTTTATTACTATTAAAATAAGTCCAACTATATTGTTTGTATTGTGAAATTTATTATCACATTAAAATAATGGTAGTTTCTGTAACTCAAATTTTTCTGTTTTTTCCACTTCAAACTATCAAGAGTGTAATGTATAT